CAAAGTGAAGGAACGTGAGTTCTGTACAAAAGCTCCTAACTATGTCATTCCTACTTTGTGAAATTGGACATTATCAACTGAACACAAAAATAAGCAAAGTATGTTCAGGGTAATATTAATTTGCTTTGCCATCAATTTCAAAAGGCAGACAACTGTACCACCTGAGACAAATGGAGCTTTGATATGTAATTTTAAAATACTCCATGAATGGGCCTGGCTGGGGTGGCTCAGTGGTTTAGCGTCAACCCATGCACCAAGAGGTCGCCGGTTCTATTCCCTGTCAGGGCACATGCCCAGGTTGTGGGCCCGATCCCCAGTTGGGGGCGTGCAGGAGGTGGCCAATCAATGTTCTCTCTCATCGATGTTTCTATCTCTTTCTCCTCTCCCTTCCTCTCTCTCCAAAATCAATAAAGAAAAATAATAAAACTCGAATGAAATGATACATAGTGAAATAATCAAATGCTACCAGTTCTCATAGGCTAAAAATACAATTTTCTATTACACAAATGACCCCTGCTATGTAAGGGATCTATCTCAAGGTTTTTACATATTCCCAAGTTTATGGCTGCTACTACTACTGTTAGATATAGTTTCTTCCATTAACTTTCTATTTTTCTACTTAAGAGCACTACTTTCTTAAGATCATCTCACTTTCAATACCTTCCTTCATAATTGTATTTTCACCTTGGAGTAATGTCTTACAAAGAAACAAAATATATGTATGCATGTTTATAAACCATTTCATGGTAGTTATCAGGTAGCAACAAGCAGCAAATATGAAGTAAGAAGTGAAGCTGAAGTGTAAATGCTGCTGTCCAGACAGGTTAGATGTACTCATTAGTTAAATGACTTCCCCAGCTCCAGCTTCACAACACATAACATTCAAGTTTGTATCTCAACAAACTATACACTACGAACCCTTAGGGTTCATAAATAGTAAAAAACTTTAAGTTAAATCTTGAATCCTGAGATTCTATGTTATCCCATTCACAGATGTTATATGACCCATGTTTAATTAAATCATGATACTTATCAAATAATATACAGGGTGGGGACAAAAGTTAGGTTTACAGCTGTTTGTATGAAAAATAATACAATAATTAATAAATAATAATACAAGAATAAACTCTGTTTTGCCTACTCATAACTGTAAACCTAGTTTTGCTCCACCCTGTACATACAACTATAAAAAAAACTGGGATAAAAATCACTCCTTCTAAAGGTCACTAAATTATGGTGATCACATGTCTCATATTTTTAAAACATGGTCATGATCTGTTAATACAATTAGAATTTCATTTCATAAAGATTATTCTGGCATCAAAAGTATTTCAAATTCTATTTAAGAAATGTAAACTGACAGTGTATATATAGTAAAAGGTCTTCTCCTTTAGTATTTGCTTTTCTTACTTTTATAACCCTCATTATGTTCTGCTTTATACAGAAATGCCTCATAGTTTACATGTATTAACTTAGCAACTCTGTGAAGTAGATACCATATAGACTTATCTTTGGGAGGCAGAACAGTATAGCAGAAGCAACACAACCTAAGGACCTGGGTTTGAATCTATTTAGTCATGTGACCTCAGGGAAAGTCAGCTAAAAATCATGACACAAAAAGTGAAACCATTTTTAATGTTTTTCAAATGCCTACCTGAAATATTTCCACAACTATAACTTTAAGTCACCCAAATAGCAAGGCTAGTGAATTTAAAAAAATTCAAATTATCAATAGTTTAAACATAGCCTAAGACATGTCATACAAATATTGTCAGAAAAAAGGTATGCCTCCAACTGAGACTATATAATTTTTTATTCCCTCATGAACATATTTATACCTAAGTATACAATTATAATACAAATATGTGTGCAATCTCAGATAATAACTCAATCATATTTGCTAAATAGTCAATGCCATGAAAACAAAACAAATTCTCAACTAAATACCACAATTGAGTCTGTTATTTAAATATATATCACTTTATACAACAGTCTGGTACTCCAAAAGCTATATAAAACAAATTCTTTACATTTTTAGAGTAATTTTAATTTTGTAAAATGTCTTAACTCTTAAGTCAGTCTCCCTTAAAATAAGGGGACAGTTACTATCCTATTTTAAAGATGCCCAGGTTGCAGGCTCAATCCCCAATAGGCAGCACGCAGGAGGCAGCTGATGATGTTTCTCTCTCGTATCGATATATTTCTCTGTCTCTCCCCCTCCTTTCCACTATCTCTAAATGTAGAACAACAAAAAACAATAAAAATAAATTTAACATAGCCCTGGCTGGTTTGGCTCAGCGGTTAGAGCTTTGGCCCATGGTCCAGAGAGACCCAGGTTCAGTTCCCGCTAAGGGCACATACCTTGGTTGCAGTTTGTCCCCGGCCCCAGTTGGGGTTGTGCAGGAGGCAGCCACTCGATGTGTCCCTTTCACGTTGATGTTTCTCTCTCTCCCTCCCATCTATCTGAACAAAAATGGAAAAATGTCCTCAGGTGAGGAAATAAATAAATAAATAAATAAAATAAATTAATTAATTTAACATAATTTGTGTAAGACCTGTATACTGAAAACCATAACATACTGAGAGAAATTAAAGGAGACCTAAATAAGTGGGAAAATATACCATGCTCCTCCTAGAATAGAAGATTTGCTACTATTATGATGGCAATTCTCCCTGAAGTGTTCTATAGATTCAATGTAATCTTACTTTAAATCTCAGCAGGCTTTTTTACCATCTGATTGTAAAATTTATACAGAAATTGAAAGGAATCAGAAGAGTTCATAATTTTATATTACTACCTAACTAGTGTCTAGCTTACATGAAATACTGATTTATCAAAAAATGTATTTGGAAGCTCTGTGTTCATATATATATATATATATATATATATATATATATTATTTTTATCCTCACCTGAGGACATTTTCCCATTTTTTGTTCGGATAGAGTGGGAGGAGGGAGAGAGAGGAAGAAAGAGAGAAACATCGACGTGAAAGGGACACATCAAGTGGCTGCCACCCGCACGACCAACCAGGGCCGGGGACAAACCGCAACCGAGGTACGTGCCCTTAGCGGGAACCGAACCCGGGTCTCTCTGGACCGCAGGCCGATGCTCTAACCGCTGAGCAAAACCGGCCAGAGCTCTCTGTTCCAATATTGAGAGCAACAACTAAAAGCCCTTGTTGTCAGACTCTACACTTCCCCAAATTCATTAACTCATATTCCATTCAACATCATCCTGTCTCAGTTTCTCTCTGCATAAAATGAGCACAAACTTTTTCACAAGAATGTTGAAAGAAATATAATTAAAGTATATCATATAGGAAACTGAGAAACAAAAATAGAAAATATCTTTTTGATTTCTACTCCTCTTGTCATTTTTGTAACTCTAAATAAATTATTTAAGCTGTGTGCCCCTGAATTATTGTATTTTTCCTATAAAGTGGACAATATATATATTTAAATATGTTTTTACTGATTTCAGAGAGAGGAAGGGAGAGGGAGAGAGAGAGAGAAACATCGATGAGAAAGAAACATTAATCAGCTGCCTCCTGCATGCCCCCCACTGGGGTTTGAGCCTGCAATCAGGACATGTGCCCTGACAGGGAATCGAACTGGCAACCTCCTGGTGCATGGGACAACACTCAACAAACTGAGCCACACTGGCTGGGCTAAAGTGGACAATATTAAACTCCTAAAGTGTTCTCTTTGAATTATTATAATAAATGAAAAATTATGAATTTTCATATAAAATTTATAATAAACAATGTGTTCTGAAATAAAGGATATTAATTCATATAATTACTCTGGTATACTCTTTTCAACAACAAATAATTCTGAAAGTAATTAAACGACTGCATCTATTTAATTTCTTTTTGAGGCAATAAATATAAAAACACTGATCTAATCTACTCCTTATTTTATGGTACTTGAGAATCTTATCCCTTAAATTAACTCTGTATCCCAAGTATATATTAATATATTTTTAAATGTAATGCAAAAATCCTCTTTATGGTGGTCTTTATCAAATACAAAACGAACAACCAAAGCTATGAAAAACTATAAACTAAACATACTGTAGGAAAGACTGCCCCCTTGTGCTAATCAATAATATTCATCATATTAAGGAACACTAAAAACTATTTCTGACATTAGAAACACCCAGACTTCTAAAAGGTCTTAATTTTTTCATGTTTTGATTTCAACAGTTTATATTTAAAGTGGTAATCTTAAAACAAACAAACAAACAAACAAACAAACAAACAAAAAATCGACAGTACATTAAGCTCATATGAACATGACTAATTTCTGACAGTCAGCAGCAAATAAGATAATTTATAACATTTAACTATCATGGATACTAGCTGCTCAAGTGCTTAAAGGATGGGCTCACAGAGATAAGTAATTTTCTGATCTTTAAATTCTATAACAAGATAGAGAGAAAATTAAAGAAATCAGTACATATCAGAGAAAAAAAATTAGATGAAGCTGAGAATTTGGTTACTTGCATTAAGACACCTATCTATAGTTTTATCCAAGTTTTTTTTGCATTTTTCTTTGAATTCTTAGAAAAGAATTTATTTCCTTTGGATCTGATGTATGGCAAACCTTTTATAACACTTTTTGACATAAGAAGTGGTATCAGGCTATTCAAACATAAGTCATCAGTATTATTACCATTATTATTACTAATAACCTATAGAAATGGACTAAATTATTAGAGCAATAAACTTTTTAAAGAAAAAATAGGCAATAAAAGACATATTTCAGGTAATAATTAGTGATGTGAATGTAGATTTTTTTATATTGACAGCACATCTTTCCTAATTATAATCATAACAGTTGCAATTCCATTTTTACCATGCAGGGTGAGTTAGAAGAATTACATGAATTAGCACTGATAAAGCACTTACTATAATAAACACCATAAAATTTCTTATATAAGCCAATGAATTAAGTATGGGAAACTTCATAGCACGCACACATTCACTAATACGTACTTTCGAAGGTGCTCATGTTCTTTCAAAAATAGTTCAGTTCGTCTGTTGTTTACTCCAGAGCCACTTTTATATGACCTAGAACAAAAATAGAGAAAATATAAGAACATTTTTGGCATATTAAAGAATATTTTTAGCAGATACTGCAAAAAAAAAAAAATTAAGTGATTTAATTCTAGTAATATCCAAAGTGGACAAATTGAGCCCCTCCATAGTTTCAAATGAACAATTAAAATGCATATTTCTTTTCATCTCCTTCTAAAAATGACATCTATTATAAACATGAATGGTTCTCTCTAATTTAGGCCCAAGAGTTTATTTTTCACCAAAATAATTCAATACCTTTTTTAAAAATAGTTTTTAAAAAATATTTTTATTTTTTTTTTTAGAGAGAGGAAGGGAGAGAGAGATAGAAGCATCAATGTAAGAGAGTAACATTGATCAGCTGTCTCCTGCATTCCCCCTGCTGGGGATCAAACCCGCAACCCAGGCATGTGCCCTGACCAGGAATCAAACCAGGACCTCTCGGTCCATGAGACGATGCACAATCCACTGAGCCACACCAGTAGGGCTAATCCAAAATTCTTAAACAAAAATCTTACTTTTCCTTTCTTTGTCCATTATCTCCTATATCTTTATTTTTTCCAAGTGGAAGTAAAACTTTGAACTGATTATTACACAGAATACAGGATGGACAAGTTACTGACATGGAATGTTTCCTTCACAATGGTACATGCAATCCATCAACTGAAATCTAAGGAGAACTAAAATGAAGCTAACGATCTGCCAATTTTGGCCTACTTAAGGATTTCTATCATGGTCTTAAGCACATTAACATTTACAAGAAAATGCCTTGTAGTATTACTATCAACACTTCCATGTTTCTGTTCTTTACTCACAATAAAGTATCAAGAACAAAATAAAAAATTCAAGTAATCGCACATATCCTGCAGTAAGACAAAAGAGGGTCATGCTGCTACAACTCAACTACTGGCTGAAAGGCAGCACTAACGTGCAAAGCACAGCAGGTAAGAAAATACCAGAGAAAGTGGAATGTTATAGCCAAGAACACACTGGACTTTGAAGACTGATGACTTGGATTTAAATCTATATTTCATCACTTATTAGCCAGTTAACAACCTTAGACAAGTCTCTTAATATAGAGTTGTTTTGTAAAACAACTAATAATTGCTATAAATACCAAAAGATTATATAAAACCAAAAAAGTAGTAATTGCAAAAAACTTGAAAATGTCACTTATTACTACTATATCTCATCTCACTAATTGTATTCTGCCTTGTATTATATTAATCTGAGTATATGCAACTAGACTATAAACTCCTAGAGGGCCAAGTCGGTCTTTTCATTTCCACCTTTTACTGTAAATGACGTAGTGTCTTATTCATGGTTGGCAATAGGAAATAGTTTAATGAATAGATAAACATGTTTCTCTTATGATGATCTTTCACAAAGCAAGTTATTATAGTGGGCTGTATTCTTGTCATTTCCACAAACTGTGGGGAAGCTAAATGTCTCTATATTAAAGGATGTTCCCTATACCAGTCCTCAATGCATTCCTTAAGAGATACATGTAAATAGACTATACAGAAATTAAACAAAAGATTTACATGTACTTAAGAACTAAAAATATTATAAAATTCCTAATTTTGACAAAAATGTTTAGTTTTTTTAATCTTACATGTTACACAAAGTACCTATGACTAAAAATAAAAAACACTGGTAAAACAGAGACAAACTAAAAATTGTTTTTCCAAGATAATTTCTGGAAACAACTCTGATAGCTGGATAATCCTGGGTTAGAGTTCTGAACATGAGTTTTGAATGCAATGAGTATTAAATTATTTCTGCTGCAAACTGTCTTACTGTTACAACAAAATAAAGAATCTTGACAAAAATGTTTCTCAGAGTACACAATTTACATTAGTTTATGACTGGTAATGAATATCACATTTATGAAACATAAGTATTATACTTATGAAATATAAGCATCATAAACTTATAATGATAGGCATATAGATGGTCCAAAAGTGGGAAGTCTTCAGCTTTAATTACATGCTCAACAGATTCAGCCTTGTCAGCAGTGTTCAGTTGTAGGGGAAAAAACTTCAAAAATGTATATAAAATGCTAGAATATATTATTGAAGGGGAGGTAAAGGGATATAAGAAAGAACAAATCTTTAAAATTATAGATTGAGATCAGCATAAAAATATTGGGAGTCCTTAAATAATTTACATAAGGCTATGTTTGCATAAAATCTGGAAAAAAAGAGATTATTTCAGATTCTAGGGAAGTAAAAGTTACTTTGATTATTATCTGAATATATAATTGCAGGGGCAAGGTAGAGGGATATGTGGTAATCAGGAACAGAAACACAGAGAGCTTCAGTTACCGATAATGTTAGAATTCTTAAAGTGGGTGGTAGGTGATCAGAGAAAAAACTCATAAAGATATCATCTAAGCTGGATTTTGAATTAAAACAGGAAAGCCAAGTTTGGCAGGAGCCAGTGATAAAACTAGGGCAAGCTGGAGTTAAGACCAGCAAAGTAGACTAGGACCATATTGTAGCTGCAATGTTTAAAGAAGAGTGAAATGGACATTAAAAACCTTGGAATCTAAAATATGATTCAGCTACTCAATTTTCTGATAATCATGGATATACTCTAAATCTAAATCTGAACATTCTACAAAATAATATAAAAAGGTAACTTACTCAATATCCTTTCGTACTGATCCCATGAGATTCTCCCTTTCCCTTATTGCCATAAAGTTTGCTTTGGTTTTATGGAATTCATGTGTATAATCCTGCAATAAATCAATATCCAGTCTCAATGTAAGCTAATTATATATTTTCATTTTACTGAGCCAGTTATTTATTGTCATCACATTATAAACTTCTGTCAAGAAAACTGCTATTTAAGAAATCAAACTGCCAAGAGGAAAAAATAACATTATAATTAGTTTCCTGAAGAGTAACCAACTTCTCTTAAATGAAAACAATTAGGTGGTAGGGCAGTGGTTCTCAACCTGTGGGTCGCGAGCCCTCTGAGGGTTGAACAACCCTTTCACAGGGGTCGCCTAACAGTAGCAAAATTACAGTTATGAAGTAGCAATGAAAATAATTTAATGGTTGGGGGGGGTCACCACAATATGAGGAACTGTATTAAAGGGTCGCAGCATTAGGAAGGTTGAGAACCACTGGTAGTAGGGTAATAGTGCCGCTAGATCACTATCCTTCGTGTCCTCCAGTAACTTGTCTTATGGGTTGTAAAGTAAAAAATAATTATAAGATAAAGTGACTTCAAATAGCCTGAGATAAAACTTCAGGGGCTTTTTCTACTCATTAGTGCACCTAATGGGCTTATTTTCAAATTTCATCCTTTTGGAACTCCCACCAAACAAAGGAAGAACAGAACCAAGAGAAATGTAAACGACAAACTAAGTTTAAAATACTCTTTTTCTACTATCATATTTTAAAACTACTAAGGAATATTCATTATTTTTTTAAAATCAGAAAAGTATAAAAAGATGAAAATCAACCCCATCTCCCAGAAAGTCCATATTGACCCTTTAAAAAACAAAATGATAAATGAACTTGGGATTGATACCAAAAGAAATAAAACTAAAAACCACCCTGCTCCACAGCTCATAACATTATCATCACTTAAATTTCCTTTCAGGAAATATATTTTTCCATATGCAAGCTTATCTATTATTTCATTTATGCTAAAAAAAATTAGACTATATTCTGCTGTACACTTTGTCTTTTGTAGTTCACAAAATATAAAATGATATTTCCATATTAGCAAACAGAAATCTACATTTTTAATAGCTATATAAAATTCTATCTTATGACTCTATCATAATTTAATAAATTGCCTATTGATGAACATTTTAGTTGCTTTATTTGCTGTTAAAAAATGCCACAATAGCCCTGACACAGGGGTTACAGCGTCAGCCTAAGCACCAAAGGGTTGAAGATTCAACCCCAGCCCTGGTCGGGATGCTGGTGGGAGGCAACCAATTGATTGTGTCTCTCTTACATTGATGTTTCTCTCCTTTCTCCCCTCTGCCCCTATCCCTTCCACTCTCTAAAAACCAATGGAAAAAATATCCTCAGGTGAGGATTAACAAAAGAAGTGTGTGTGTGTGTGTGTGTGTGTGTGTGTGTGTATGACACAATAAACATTCATATATACATATACATACACACACACACACACACACACATTTTATTGAATTCTCTCTTATTAAAGTGTATTTAGCCCTGGCCGGTTTGGCTCAGCGGTTAGAGCGTCGGCCTGCGGTCCTGAGAGACCCGGGTTCGGTTCCCGCTAGGGGCACGTACCTCAGTTGCAGTTTGTCCCCGGCCCTGGTCGGTCGTGCGGGTGGCAGCCACTCGATGTGTTCCTTTCACATCGATGTTTCTCTCTCTCTCTCTCTGTTCCTCTCTCTCCCTCCCACTCTACCTGAACAAAAAACAAAAACAAAAAATGTCCTCGGGTGAGGATTAAAAAAAAAATAATAATAAATAAAGTGTATTTAAAGAGTAAATGCCACCCTGGCCGGTTTCAGCGGTTAGAGCGTCGGCCTGCAGTCCAGAGAGACCCGGTTGGGTTCCCGCTAAGGGTGTGTACCTTGGTTGCAGTTTGTCCCCTGGTTGGTTGTGCGGGAGGCAGCCACTAGATGTGTCCCTTTCACGTCAATGTTTCTCTCTCTCCCTCCCTCTCTCTCTCTCCCTCCCTCTCTCTCTCTCCTCCCACTCTATCTGAACAAAAAATGGAAAAAAATGTCCTCGGGTAAGGATAAAAAAATTAAAAAATAAAGAGTAAATGCCTTGCAGAGTAAGTGAATCAAAGAATCTTACATTTAAATCAGACTACACCAATTTATATCTCCAGCAAAATAAATAAATGTCCATTTTCCTACACTCTTGCCAATAATAGGCTACAAATGTTTCAATATTTGCTAATCTGACAGGTGAAAAATCGTATCTCATTTTGATTTGGGAATGCAGCTGAACATCTTTTTATGGTTTTGACAATTCATTTTCTGTACACAAGTTAATATCCTTTGCTCATTTTTGTGTTAGGTTATCTTTTTCCTTATATCTATTACTTCTCTATATATTAAGCAAATTAATTATTTGTTATAGTTTCTGGTATTAGATCTTGCTTAGAAAATCCTTTACTATCCAAAATGTATAAATTCACCCGTGCGTTATTCTGAATTTTCTTTCCTTCTAAAAAATTTTTTTATCCTCACCCAAGGTCATTTTTGCATTTATTTTCAGATAGAGCAGGAGGGAGAGAGGGAGAGAAACACTGACGTGAGAGAGAGACATAGACTGGCTGCCACCTACACAACCCCAACCAGGGCCGGGAACAAACTGCAACCGAGGTACATGCCCCCAGCGGGAACCAAACCTGGGCCTCTGTGGTCCGCAGGCCAACGCTCTAACTGCTGAGCCAAACTGGCTAGGGCTGAATTTTCATGGTTTCATTTTCTACATATAAATCTTTGATCCATTTGGAATTTATCCTGGATGGAAGAAATGAGATAGAATTTAAGGTTTGTTTTTTTCCCCCGAAAAATAACTAGCCAATAGTTACAACTCTATTTATTTTATAATCCTTCTCTTTTCCACTGATTTAAAATACTACCTTTATGGTAAAACTAAATTCCCATGCATATTTAGGTTTATAAATAAATTCTATTCAGTTCCATTGGTCTCTTTTTCTCTAGAATTAAGCTGTCTTAATTATTCTAGCTTCTTCACAGGTTTTAATATATCTGGTAGAACTAAGTATCCTTTACTACTTATCTTCATTTTTACACGTTTTTTTCTTAGTTATTCTTGTATGTCTATGATTCCAAATAAACTCTAGAGTCATTTTGCTGATTAGAAAAAATGAAACAAATAAATTTTAAAACCTGTTATTTCCATTGGGAAAGCATTTAATTTATAGGTTGATTTAGAGAGAAATCTTCCCACCCAAAAGCAGAGTAAATCTTTTACATTCCTCAGTAGTATTTTAAACATTCCAGTCCTATACATCTCATTAAATTTATACATAAAGATTTTATCGTTTCTTCCACTGTATTTTCTAACAAGTTATTGTTTGAGAAAAACTACTTGCTTTTATATATTAATTTATGTGATCCACTGTCTCGCTGAATTTGTTTCAAATACATATTTTTTAGTTAGTTTTCTTGGTTGTATCAGCTATTATAATCTTATCACTGCCACACAATACAAATTTTGTCTCTTCCTTTATCTGGTTTCTTTTTACTGTCTAATTGCACCACAAAGAACTTCCAAAACAATGTTAAATATCGTGGTGATAGTAGGTATTCTTGTTTTTCTTTTTTTCTTTAATGGGAATGCTTTTAGTGCTCTATTATTAAGTATAATGCTAGCCTTTAATCTGCTATATACATTTTTGCATTAGGCAATTAAAGTATCCTTCTATTCCTATTCTTTTTGTTATTGTTGTTAATCCTCACCCAAGCATATTTTTCCACTAATTTTTAGGTAGAGTGAAAGGAAGCATAGGGGGATAGAGAGAGACAAACATTGATGTGAGAGAGACATATCAATTGGTTGCCTTCCACACAACGCCAACTGGGGACAGGGATCAAACCTGAGACCCTTCGGTCTGAGGGCTGATGCTCTAACCCAGCGGTTCTCAACCTATGGGTCACGACCCCTTTGGGGGTCGAATGACCCTTTCACAGGGGTCGCCTAAGACCATCAGAAAACACATATTTCCGATAGTGATTCATAACAGTAGCAAAATTACATTTATGAAGTGGCAACGAAAATAATTGTATGGTTGGGGGTCACCACAACATGAGGAACTGTATTAAGGGTCGCAGCATTAGAAAGGCTGTAACCGCTAAGCCAAACTGGCCAGGGCCTATTCCTATCTTTAATAAGAATTTTGTTTTGTTTTGTTTTGTTTTAATCCTCACCCGAGGATATTTTTCCATTTATCTTCAGAGAGAGTGGGAGGGAGCAGGAGAGGGAGAGAGAAACATCAATGTGAGAGAGATACATCTACTGGTTGACTCCCGTAAGACTCTGACCAGGGCGGGGGACAAACCACAACCAAGGTACGTGCCCTTGACCGGAATCAAACCCACGACTCTTGGTCCACGGGCCGATGCTCTAACCGCTGAGCAAAATCGGTCAAGGTTAACAAGAGTTTTTAAAATTTGAAATGGTTGATGAATTTTTTCAATATTAAAAAGATTTGCCTTATTTATATACTATATATTAACACCCCATATAAAAATCTTTAAGAGTTTATTTCATTTTGTTGTTACATTTTTAATATTTTCTCAAACAATATTCTAAATATAGTAAATTACTCCTCTCCCATGTAATTCAAAGGCTAAGGAAAGTCTACTCTAAACCACCATATTATTGCCTTTGCATGACCACTGGCTATTTCACTGTTACAGTTAGCGAGGTTTTCCACAGAATATTTACCCACTGATGAAAATTACTCAATTTACCAGGCAAAAAAAAGCAAGAGCTCTTAGATATTAGACATTTTATAATACCAACGGAAAAAAGTAAACAAGACAAACTTCTATAGCATGACATTTATCCTCTTACAAGATGTTCCTCTTTGGTCTCTTAAATACATGTGCACAGATTCTATTTAAGGATTTTAAAAAACCACCCTATAACAACATAAAAATCTCAAGCCCGATATATTTATTACCTGCAATATGTCTCTATGTCGCTGTAATGTATGCATCAGCGCCGCATTCAAGGAGGGGACACCCGCACTGTTGGTATATTCTGCCATTTTATCATTTACTCCTGTAAGCTAAAAAGAAAAAAAAAAAGAAAGGAAAAAAATATATATTAAATATATTTTATAAATCACTATAAACAGATGAAAGTAAATTATCTGCCTGTTTGCCCTTTGGCTAACAGCAACAAACCAACCAAAAACAAGAAGGCATGGATTCAGTACGTCTGCCAAGTAATGCATACAAGCTAAAATAACTCTCATGGGACCTGGAAATGGCTGTCATCAAAATGTAAGTGGCCTGGGAAGCACACATCTTGAATGAAGGGGGACTTCAATAAACATGTCTGCATTAATATAATCTAGTACCATATCTAACAAGTACATAGTTATTAGCAAAACAGCCATTTACAGAAAGTACTTACCCTTGCCAAAAGCTGTTCAATCTCAATTGCCATTGTTTCAAACATTCTGTCTTGGCTTGATCCATTTAAAAGGGGTGTGGTGTCAGAGCTAAAGATAAGTTCAAATAAAGAGAATCCATTACTTACACTTAATCCTTTAAAATATACTTAGAATAATAAGGTAATTATTCTTTTTTTTTTAATTGTTTTTCTTTATTGATTTTAGAGAGAGAGAGAGAGAGAGAGAGAGAGAGAGAGAGATAGAAACATCGATGAGAGAGAATATCAACTAGCTGCTTCCTGCATGTGCCCCTCACTGGGGATTTAGCCCACAACCTGGGCATGTGCTGAATGGGAATCAAACTGGCGAACTCTTGGTGCATGGGTTGATGCTCAACTACTGAGCCACACTAGCTGGGCGAGTTAATTATTCTTAAAGCGGTCAAGTAGAATTCCTGAGACAGTCTCTCTGTTTCTTAAGAAGCCATATGTGTGTATATATATATATACATATATATATATTTTAATTTTTTTCATTGATTTTTAGAGAGAGAAACATCAATGTGAGAGCATAACATTGACCGGCTGCCTCATGCATGACACCCACAGGGGATGGAGCTGACAACCAGGGCATGTGCACCTCCTGGGAATCGAACCAGGAATCCCCAGGTGCACTGGATGATGTCCAACAAACTAAGCCACACCGGTCAGGGCAGAAGCTATAGTTTTCATAGAAGTTTTCCTACAAAGATCACACGTGTCCTAAATATTAAACTCATTATATAAAATATAATTGACTGTAAGATTTTCCCAAGCTTAAATATAAACCATCATAATAATGTAAAGAAATTCCAAGAGCTGTTTATTGTTTCCCAAATAAAATAACTTAAACTAAGCTATGGCAGTGCTCAATTAAATACGAAATCTGGAAACAAAAAACAAAAAAACAAATTATCTGAAATAAAACTGTAAAACTATGTAGTACAGCATATAAAAGCCATAAAATGGATTATAAATTACGCTATGTGATCTATAAGAAATAATCTTTAAAATTTTTACCCCAAAGCAATTATGGTTGCTTAGAGCTTATGTTAAGTTATCGCTTCTTTCCTTGACTATCACCAAGAAGAAATAAAAATGAGATTTAAATGATCCAGATTGGATAACTAGTTATTAAATAATCAGGAATTAATACAGATAGTTCTATCTGTCTAATACAGATAGTCATGTCCAGCACCAAAGTTTTAATACCAACCCTCTATATTTCTACTTATATTACACAATTGTTTCCATTTTGTTTTGCAAAAATGTGTTGAACTTTTAAAAAAATTTTTATTCACTGACTGACTTAGAGAAAGGGAGGGGAGGAAAGCAGAGAGAGGGAAGGGGGGAGAGAGAGAGAGAGAGATGGATTTGTTGTTCTACTTATTTATGCATTCATTGGTCAATTCTTGTATATGCCCTAATTGGGAATCAAACCTGAAACCTTTTTGATGTTACAGAACAATGCTCCAAACAACTGAGTCACCCGGCCAGGGTTCTAGCTTTTTATTATATGTCAGAGCCAACCCAAGGTTCTGTAGTTGTATCTTAGAATGTACCTGGCCAAAAATTCTCTATATACTACTAATACAAATCCTCCTCTATAAGATATATGATAAAGAACAACTGGCCAATGAATGTAATTTCTTTGAAAAGGGAAACTGTCTGTCTCATTCATCTATATACCTAGCTCCTAAAATATTGCTTGGCACATGGTAGATGGTTAATGAATACTTTTTTAATAAATGAGGAGGCAATCTCTACATTCACCATTCTCAGGAGAATATGTGAGTCCAGGAAAATAGTCAAAAACTCATTCTCTACAACACTAAAATTCAGTTAAATATATTTTATTTTATAGGTATGTGATGATTCATAGGCCATTAAGTCTCCAAATATAGAAACTAAAAAAATTACTCCTGAAAGAAAAATTCTGGTCATCACTGAGTTTATTCATCATGACATGCTTTCAACATGGGCAACAAACAAAACACTTTAGAATGCAAACTGAAAAAAAAATGCAGATTGGATCTTGATCCTCATGGCCTTAGGTTTCTTACTGAAGGGGACAGTTAGGCTGAAGTAATTCCACAAAGTCAGTCTCAGTTTGTTGCAGAATTTCTTAAGGAACGTTTTCAAGGTAGTTTTTCCTTTAAAGAAGTCACAAAAGTAGTAAGTTCATGAAGCATGGAGAACATAAAAAAGCATCATGTAATTATATCTTAACTATTTGGAGTTTTAAAATTGTATAATCACTGGCATAGCCAAATGGGAGACTTAAATTCAGGACATATGCTTTCCAGTGATAAAATAAGTTAACACATAGAAAAGCATATTCCTCATTCTATCTCACTTGCTATGTAAAGGTGAGCCCACAGAAATGCACTGCAATTAAAGCTATGTGACATGCCAATAGCTTATTTTTAGATCCTAGAGTCAATATGTTGGCCCTGCTATCTTTAATTCTTTAATAACACACCCTATTAAAAAGAAGCAACAGTTTGGCTATAGTGCTGGAATGAGTCTTTTGTTGGAATGTGCATAGAAAGTTTTAGAGAGTGGGCTCTGGAGACAGAAAGACCTGGGTTCAAATCCAAGGTCAGTTTTTATTATTTAGTTGAAAAATCTCTCACTCGTGACCAGTCCTCACAAAAGTATATAACAACTAACAACCGTGCTAACTGAAATTCATGCAAGATACATAAAAACATTTTTATAGGTAAAAATGTTCCCATAAGTCTTTACATAAAGCTCTTAGAACAGTACCTGACACATGATAAACACTGTGCCAGCTATTAAAATTATTAGAAAAAAATTGAAAACAATGTCCATCTACAGAATAAACTGTGATACAATCATACAATGTAATAATATTTGTAGTAAATTAATATATCAGAGTTAAATGTATTCATAGCTTAATCTCAAAGATAATGTTAAACCAAAAAACAAGTTGCAAAATAACTTTGGTAGGATACTATGAATTGTTTAGGAACATAAACATATAAAATATATATGGAGCCCTGGCCGGTTTGGCTCAGCGGTTAGAGCGTTGGCCTGCGGTCCGGAGAGACCCGGGTTCGGTTCCCGCTAAGGGCACGTACTTCGGTTGCAGTTTGTCCCCGGCCCCGGTTGGTCGTGCGGTGGCAGCCACTCGATGTGTCCCTTTCACATCGATGTTTCTCTCTCTCTATCTCTTCCTCTCTCTCCCTCCCACTCTATCTGTACAAAAAATGGAAAAATGTCCTCGGGTGAGGATAAAAACAAACAAACAAACAAACAAACAAATAAATAAAATATATATGGAGATTATAAGGATGAAAAAAAATGGACGCCATCAGGGGCTTCAACTGAATTGGTAAAGACTATTTCTTAAAGTGGGAGATAGGAACATGAGGATCCATTATATTATTCTTTATACCTTTCTAAATGTCTTAAATATTTCTTAATGTTTTCAAACAAGTGAATGGCCTAAAGTTAGCATGAGATTCAAAGGTAAGAATACATTTTCCAGTAGAGTTATCATATGATCCAGCAATTCCTCTTCTGGGTATTCAACTGAAGTATATGAAAACACTACTTTGAAAAGCTATATGTACCTTAATGTTCATTGCAGCATTATTTACAATAACCTAGATATGGAAATAACCTAAGTGTCCATTGATGAATGAATGGATGGATGAAGAAAATGTGGTATATATGTGTACTGGACTATGACTCAGCCTTGAAAAAGATGGACTACCACCATTTGTGACAACATGGATGGGTTCTTGAGGGTATTATGCTAAGTTAAGTAAGTCAGACCGAAAAGGACAAAAACCATGATTTTACTCATATGGGAAATAAAAAAACAAAAGAAAACAAATCAACAAAACAAACTCATAGATACAGACAATAAAAGATGGGCAGTTACCAGAGGGAAAGGAGAGTAGGAGGAGGGAAAACATGGGTAAAAGGGATCAAATATATGGTGACGAATGAAAACTAAACTTTTGGTAGTGAACGCACTATAGCGCACACAGATATCGAACTACAATGTTGTAATCCAATGTTACCTGAATTAAAACAAAACAAAACAAACTTTTTCTATACATTCAATATAGTAGTACACTGGTTTCTCATGAAAGAACCAAAATTAAAAATAGCTTAGCCCACCTGATGTGGTTCAGTGGATTGAGCGCTGTCCCATGGACCGAGAGGTCCTGGTTTAATTCCTGGTCAGAGCACATGCCTGAATTTTAGGCTCATTCCCTAGTAGGGGGTGTGCAGGAGACAGCTAATCCATGTTTCTCTTTCACATAGATGATTCTCTCTCTCTCCCCCTTCCTCTCTCTCTAAAAAAATCAATAAAAACATTTTAAAAAACAGCTTAGGTGATTAATAGCAAGGATACACACTGCACTAGTCATTCTAAAATGCCAAAATAGCAGCATATATACTTGGCATTTGGGTAGTTGCTCACATTCATTTAGTAATCAGACGATATAAGAAATACAATGTGGACAGATCAACCACATTTCTTAAACTGATTGACCTAGAAAGTTATTTCTGACACAAGTTCATTCTTCAGCTTTACCATTTTTTTCCTGTCACTGTCACAATCTTTGCCTAAGAATCTCAAATAAACGCTAGTCTCAAAAATTAAGAAATTTTATAAATCACTAAAAACAAGACAATAGCATAAAAATAAAATACCAAAAATTCACCAATAGAACAAATTACAGAGTCCTATATTTTAGTTTATTTTTCAATGCTTTAAAAACATTATGTAGTTTAAGGCATAAGAGAGAGAATCTGGTAGTACCTATACCTGTCGCGTCTTCCATCTCGGGCACTGCTGTGACTGTAACTCGTACATAGTTTACTGAAGGAAACGAGCTTCAGGTCAAGTTCATTTTCCAGCTGTCGAGCCTGTTTCCTCAGATCTTTAACAAAATTATAAAATCAAATCATTTAGATACAGAGTCCATCAGTAGATATAAAACTCACAAAACTTTTCTGAAGAAAACAAACTATGAAAATGATCATATATTGATCTAGGTTCAATAAAGAAAAGTATTTAAAGGAAGAAACCAAAGACGTACCAGCAAAGCAAACTGTCACTTATTTTAAACTTCACGTGGGGCAAAAGGGTGCGTGTGTGAAAATTTTCAGCTTTATCCCAAAGACAACTAGACAACAAATGTTATTCTAACATCCCTGAAATTATTTCTATAGCAATAAATAAATTTTGTAATTTGGGGACTGGGGGGGAGAGGGGGGTAATACAAATCACAAAGAGACTGACTACAGGTTATAACCAGCATTACATCCATTTACCTTCTAACTTTATAAAAAAGAAACCATTACTGTTTTTGACAGGAATTTTCCTCTCTCTTTAAGTCCCAAAACTGTATTAAGCTTATGAAATTCTTAATAGTAGAATGACTTAGTGATTGAGCATAAAGAAAAAAATACTCATTGACAAAGATAAAATAATTCTTTCAATAGTTTACTGGAATCTGGAGAGGGTGAAATTAACAATGACAAGGTGCTATTAACAAGGTTGATGGTAAGTATAACAAAAATAACAGTATAGGTTTTATTTATTTTTTATCCTCACCCGAGGACATTTTTCCATTTTTTTGTACAGACAGAGTGGGAGGGAGAGAGAGGAAGAGAGAGAGAGAGAGACATCGATGTGAAAGGGACACATAGAGTGGCTGCCACCTGCACGACCAACCAGGGCCGGGGAAAAACTGCAACCAAGGTACATGCCCTTAGCGGGAACCGAACCCGGGTCTCTCCAGACCGCAGGCGGGCGCTCTAACCGCTGAGCCAAACCGGCCAGGGTAACAGTATAGGTTTTAAAAGGACAGAAACAAACAAGCAAGGAGAGAAATCGGTATATAGTAGTTTGGCATCTAAGTGGCTGAATGAGAGAAGCAGCAGCCCCCAAACCCCCATCTAGATGTAAGTAATCTCATTCATGGTGAAGTGGTCAAAATGAAAGAGCTGAAACATAGGAAGAATTGTGTAAGGATCTCATCTTTCAGTAAAAAGGAATACAAAATATTATTTCAATATACTTAACAGCAACCAGAAGTAGGAAGCAGCGTAATACAGTGGGGTATATGTTCCCAGAAACCAAATCTCAGTTAGAACCTCAGCTCAGCCTAAAGTTCTGGGATTCTGAGCACTGGCTCTGAGATTTACTGACAATCTACTTAACCTATAAACCTCAGCTTTTTGTTTTTTAAACCCTTATCTTCAGGGTTTTTCTGAGCATTAGAAATCATGTATTTAAAGCACCTGGCACAGAATAGGTTGTCAATAATAAGCTGCTATAATTATTACAGCATGGTGCTTCAAAAAAGCATAGCCCAATGACTAGCATTAATGAACCCAGTAGCCACTTGCACATAATTTAAAAATATGTTCTCACTACTACACACATTTCAAATAGTCATTTTTCATACATGTTCAACTCTAAGCCCACGTCTCTGTAATTAGCGACTGCCTTCTCCAGTAGAAGACATCAAGTAAAAGCATTTTCAAAGTGTGACAGGCAAGTACGGATGGACTTAGAATTAAGTATCTTAGACCCAGGGGCTGATAGTGACGGTACTGTTATTTGTAGTGGTTACCGGGAGGAGCAACAGGAAATAATTTAAAAGGGAAAAAAAGGATTCAGAGAGCAGTTTCTATGTTGCAGTCAAGCAGACAGACACTTGAAAGAAAAAGGGGAGCCTTCTCTATCTGTCACCATCGTGGTCCAGGAAGAGTTTTACATGAGCCCACTTCATCCGACCAGATTTTCAGGAATTAAATAAACGTACTTGTCAAGTCACGAGATGACGATTTATCTATCTGTTTGTTTATTTAGTGGAAGAGGTATACCCAACGCAATCATTACAATTCACACTGGCTCTCTCAACTTTCTCTGTTGAACGAAACGGATCTCCCGAGCAGAGAGTCAAGTTATTTCTTCTGCCATCAAACGCGACAAGACACCCAACCCTCCACGTCCCAGCCTGAAGCAGCCCAGGGGACCCGGCAGGAGACATTCCGCGCACCCGACTTCCCCTCGATGGACCGGGCAGACAAGTTCCTCCTTTTTTCCCTACTCGACCGTCGAAAGCGCTGACTCCTCCGGCCTCCCGGGCTCGGTACATTCTCGCCCAACTCACACTCATTTCCTCTCAGATCTCAGAGTTCATACCCCAACCCCCTTCGTCCGAGTTCCACGGCTCTCTCAACCTAGCTCTCCTCCGACTACTCCGGCCCAGCCTCCTCTCCATCGTGCTCAGCCCTCTCGGTCCAACCCCTGCCTCAGGTCCCGCTGCCTCTCAGGTCAGCCCCCTGCCCCAGACCGTTCGTTCTCCTCTCCCCCAGGCCCCGAGGCTCCCACTAAACAGCCCTGGCCCTCGGCTCGGCCGCTCCGGAGGCCAGGCTCTTTCCTCTGCTGCCTCACCCAAGATACGACCTCACGCAGCCGCCTCGTCCCCGGGTGAGACCCACCCGGAGGCCTCGCCCTTACCTTCCCAGTAATTGCTCGTTCCTGCCGCCATCTTTGTTGTCCAACGTCAGTCGGGATAGGAGAGTAGACGCGCTGCGAGCCAGAGAGTCACCTCTGCGCCTTCTTCCGCCCTGGCGCCAGGGCCGATGGGATACGTGAGCTTCCACAGACACCGCCACCTGGCGGTCAATTTGTTATTTTACACCTTTTGAATGGCGAGACAAAATCTCAGGCTTGGCGCCTGACATTCCCTGTCTTTCGGGTGCTTATATCCATTCTCTGCGCTCCCAAGTTTCATCATCGCATCATCGCCCTCAGCTCGTCTTATCCCCTCTCTCAGCAGGACCTACCTAGATGAGAAAAGTCATCCTCAGACACAGCTCCCTGTTTGCCTCACCTCGCAATGTGTATCCTCCGCTAGCCTCTTTCCCTTCTCAGAGCCAGAGGCTCTTTTCTTCCCAAGACCAATCCCTTCATCCTACCTGCGCCTGTGCTCCGCTGGCTGCCTTTTCCTCCGTCTGCAGTAGTTAGGGTCCCATCCCTTTCCTCCCCAGCCACCAAGTCCAGAAAGTGTATGCTGACTGCTTCCATGTGCCTCATCCTGACCCCTCAACTTGTCAAAATCTGCTGTTCAAACCCACCCTTTATAGATACATGAATGATCACAATCTACGTATGTCCACATTTTAACAATTACAGTGAAAAGTATAAACTTTACATCCTGTAAAGGTTTTTAAATCACACTTGTCCCTTTACCCACTCCCATCTATATTTGTCTTTAATATTTCCTCTACATTCATTGAGAACTACTTCAGATGTTATAATTTGTGTTTCAACTGTCAGACACAATTTAAAGAATTCACAAGGAGAAAGAAAGCCTACTGTGTTTACCCATATTTCATTCTTTCCATTTTTCTTCCTTCCTTCCTGATGTTTCAAGATGTCTTCTTTTATCATTTTCTTTTGGTTTCAAGAACTTCCTTTAGTCATTTTTCCAAGAGTAGGTCAGCTGGAGACAAATTCTATTAGTTTTTTCTTCATCTGAGAATGTCTTGATTTCCCCTTCATTCTTGAAAGATACTGTTGCCAGATATAAAATCTGGGGTCGATTTCTTTTCTCAGCACTTGATAAATGTGACCATTCCTACTGGCTTCCACAGTTCCTGGTGGGAAATTGGCTGTTTGAGTTGTTTTTCTACTATAATTAGGGCATTTTTCCTCTGTTACTGCTTTCATAATCTTTTCTTTAGTTTTCAGATGGTTATGATGTGTCTTAGTGTAGATTTCTTTGGTTTTATCCTATTTGGGGTTTGCTCGGCTTACTGACCGTGAAGGGCAGCTGTGCCAAGGTCTCTTGTTGATCCTGCGTACTGGTAAGGCCCATGCAGGAGCTTTCTGAGCCCCGGGCAAAAATGGATCAACAGTCTGGACCTTGAGCTCAGAGGCTGGTGAAAACATCTAGGTTTGAAGATAATGAAGCTTTTGAACTTCCCCCTTTCATTATTGCTATATTATAAACATGCTGAGCTAGCTCATGGTCCCTGTTTCTCCATCAGAGAGCAGTGTCCCACCTGACCCTGGCTTTTCTCTGTATAATATCTCTGTGTCTTTCTTTATTTTTTTTTTATCCTCACCCAAGGACATTTTTCCATTTTTCGTACAGATAGAGTGGGAGGGAGAGAGAGGAAGAGATAGAGAGAGAGAAACATCGATGTGAAAAGGACACATCGAGTGGCTGCCACCGCACAACCAACCAGGGCCGGGGACAAACTGCAACCGAAGTACGTGCCCTTAGCGGGAACCGAACCCGGGTCTCTCCGGACCGCAGGCCGACGCTCTAACCGCTGAGCCAAACCGGCCAGGGCTCTGTGTCTTTCTTAATCTCCCATCGCCCCTCCTCAGGTCTGGTTCGACTAGTTGCGCAGGTGGTGGCAACTGAATCTTAGATTTATGTTTTGCCAAATTTGGGAAATTTTCAGCCATTATTTCTTCTAATACTTATTCTACTCCATACTCTTTTTCTCTCTTTTTCTGATGCTCCAATGGCACAAATGCTAGATCTTTTGTTCAAGTCTTATGTATCTCTGAAGCTCTACTAATTTTTTTTTCTATTTTCTGTTGTTCAGATCAGGTCATTTCTACTGTTCTGTCTTCATGTTTGCTGATAGGTGTGCCTTTCATCTGTCCCCTTTACTCTGCTGCTGAGCCTATTCACTGAGTTATTAATTATTGTATTTTTCAGATCTAAAAGTTTCATTTGGTTCCTCATTATATCTTCTGTTTCTCTGCTGAGATGTTTTATCATTTTTTCTATGTTTATTTGCAATTTCTCATTAAAATATTTTTATTACATCCTTGGCAGATAATTCCAACATGTGTGTCATCTTGATGTTGGCATCTGTTAATTGTCTTTTTCTATTCAAG